CGACATCGAGTCCAATATCTCGCCTCAGAATCGTTGCAGAGCAATAAATTTCACATCGCCTAATAGTATGAACTTTCCTCTTTCGAAAGAACTTGGTTTGTTCATCATCGCGGAAATTCCCGCGACATGCGACGAACTTTGTTTGTCTAAAATTCAAAATTCCATTTTCGAAAGAACCGCTAACCCCATGATCGTTGCCACGAGAAGCGGCTCAGCAACCTGACCTCCTCGTTTGAAAACATTCTTTCAGGGGGGGGGGGAGCTGGACTGGAACTAGCAACCCAGTGTGGATTGTTAATGGTGCCAATAAAACTGGTAAATAAATGATTGTCAACTATTCGACAGTCTTGCTCTGCTGAGTGGTTATATAGTAATACTACCTGAAAAAAAGCAGAAACTCAACGTCGGCTACTAACTCTAGACGAAGGGCCTTCGCTCGAAATGTCAAATTTCTGCTTGTTTTTTTCAGGTAGTACTACATATAAATATCAGATGTTCATTCTTGTAATGGATAACTGAATGTGCAACAATTTGTAGTCACAATGCTCACAAAAACAACTTTACTTTTTCAGAATAAGACTACTAAAACCAAATTTTAGGTTTATTAGTGAACTATCATAATAACTTCATACATCTTTAACAATTTCAGGACAGCCAAAAGTAGGGATGCAGGCAAAAGCCCAGCTTAAAAGGGGCCTCCACAGCACAAAAAGGTGTGTCAGTGCCATATAATATGCAGTAAAGTGTAACATATTGTAAAACACCTTCTCCCATTTAATAATTATGATGTCATAGGGACCCCTGGGAAAACTTAATGATGTCATATGGTCCCCTGGAAAAGTTTTACTCTGGGCCCTGCACAACCTCCCAGTGGTACCATAAAATGAATTGCAAGTTCTGAAAAACCTTTATTGATTTCAATGTGTCATTCTACACATCAGCCTGACAGCCTATCAAGTAATACAAGCATGAAAGTATAAATGATATTACACTTATTCAAACAGGACATTGTTATTAGTCAGGCCATGTGTGATTCTTGATTCTTTAACCTAATTACTTTTTATCACATAATTAATGAGCAATGCACTTCTCCAATGATACTATTATACATTCTTGAGTATTTCATTATATTAGAGTCTTCATTATAATGCAACATGCCAAGTTGTTTACTGATCCAGAATACAGGGCTGTATAATTTTAACTTGAGACTGATTTCTCTATTGTTTCTGGAGGTATTGGTATAATAAAAAGAATATCATATTTACAGTCCCAGGTGTATCTGAAAGAAATGTAAAACTAAAGTTATAAAATAGTCAAGTTAAGTCAACCATTAACACACACTGGTATACTCCTACAGGCTTTTGCTCAATTGCTACACTAGTACAGGCCTTCCTTATTGAGAAAAATATCTTTATTTTATCATTGTATAAAGAACAATATTTGGTTTTAAATTCCCTAGGTATGATAGATTCATAAAAATTTTGTATTATAATAGTAATAAATACTGGGTATGATCAGCTCACAGGATATGCTATAGAATTTCTGAAAATCTGCTGCATTTTTAGAGGTACGCAATATCTTTTGTGGCATTCTAACTAGAGTTAGAGACTACAATTAGGATGGAAATTCAGAGCCCAAGGTTCAAAAATTAACCTTGAAACAAAATAATGATGACATAAACAATATAAATTGTAACAAATTAAATAATTAAAGGCAACCAAGGCAGTGTGCAACAAGCAACGTTCTTGCTCAAGAATAGCCTATTTAATAAAGCTGAGAGTTATTAAATAGAGAATAATACATGGGTGCGCGGAAATACCAGATTTATTTCGAGTGTTGAACATGATATCTCACGAGTGAGCGCAGCGAACGAGTGAGATATCATGTTCAACACGAGAAATAAATCTGATATTTCCAAGCACCCATGTATTTTTCTGTTTATTATATAAACAAAATTCAGTGAAAAACAATAAAACGTCCGTGGCAATGCGTTTTACAACAAATGATATTTTCACTTGTAAAAATATCGTATTTTTTACGTGTGTTCAAATACGATTTTTCTCAGTGGCCAAAAACATATAACACTTATGTTTATATAATAAATTACTTTTATATAACAAATAATTAAACGTACTTATACCTTAAGAAGAAATCGGAATATTTTGAAGGGAACAGAAGCCATTTGATCGATGAGTGTTGACATGTGTACAAGCCGGTGTTTCAATCATCTCAAATTACGGAAATTACACGTGCACTCAGTATCCTTGTTGTTCACACTAACTGCGCCGAACATATTTTAATGCTTTTGACGGAAAGAATTGCGATTTTATTGCTATTTTCAGCAAAAAGTTAGCTCTCCACTCCTCTTGAAAATACTATGGCGCGCGCGAATTCCCGGAGAATGGGTACGAAATAGTTAATTGGAAAATACTGTACTTTTACCGTATTTTCTAATTAACTCAACTCGTGTGGCCAGAGCCACTCAACGATGGCTCTGGGTACGAGATTGTCGTTTCCCAGGAAGTTAGCGATTTGTGTTTTAGAAAGAAACTCTCGACTGTGTTAAAAAAACTGGGGAGGATGATCTAAAGAAATTCAGTCTTGAGCAGCTATGTGGCTCAGTCCTGTTCAAGCAAAGAAATGATAAAATGAGCGCGACCGCCTTGGCTATTGTGTTGGGTTTAGATGTGTTGGGTATCCTTCTCAAATAATCTCGCTCGACTGAGGTTATATAACGGAGGCTATTTAGGCTTGTACAAAAAATATGCTGTAAAGCAAAAGTGCTCGCGGGTATTACGAGTTCTCAGACTTTTATGGTTTCAAAAGTGTTCGGATTTCATGCGTTCAAATAAAACCCGACTCCCGAGCACTTTTGAAACCATAATAGAAGTCAAACCCGGAGAGACCCTGGGAACGAGGTTGCAAAAAAATTTGAAACGACGCTATCCCATGAACCTTCGCGCTCTGATACGTAAACTAGGCACCGGGTCCCCAAGCAATGCGCGAACTATTACTGCTTGCATGTCTGCATTTTCAATCAGGTATTGACTGTTAATTTTATCTATAATAAATTATCGGAAAGTCATGAAAATTCTCTGCAATTGTCAAATAAAACACGATAAAAATTCAAACTTTAGAATGAAAATTAGAATGTATAGTACCGTATCAGGGCCAGGGGCGAAACTAGCCCCTTTTAATTAGGGGGGTGTCTGCTAGAATTGCGCATGCCCTGCGAAAACCGATGATACCTTGCAGCAAAAATTTTTTTTGGCAATTATTTTTCCCGAAAATATGGGCGAGCGCGCAGGGGAGGTCGAAAAAAATTTTTCCGGACATTCAAAAAAGGGGCTAATAATTTTTCCGGACATAAACCAATTAAATTAAGGGTCAAAAAATTTTTTCGGACAAATTCCTGTTAAAACATGCATGAGACCCTTATTTTTCGCCCAATATTTGTAACATTTAGGTCCATAAATGCTATTCAATTCCCTCTGGAAGCCCCGGAAGCTACTTAATAACTCTACATTCTATCATTTAAAATCTTTCATAGCCCTGCCAATCCAGATGATTTGCCCTGCCAATCCAGATGATTTGTACTTTGAGGGGGTGTCACCCTCCCCACACACACACCATCAAGTTTCGCCCCCCGATCAGGGGCAACGGAATGTAAGTGAAAGATATCTTCTTTCCTGCAGGAGGGGGGGGACAAATGTAGCATTTTAATAAAAATAAAACACAATATTTTTCTCAAATTTACCTCAGGGATGGATCCAGCATGATCTGGTAGGGGGGAGGGGGGTTGGGGGGGCACCTCAAAAACAATTTTCTTTTTCAGACCTTTTTCGACCTCAATGTTTCAGAATATTCCTTAATATTTAACATGTTCCACAATTCCAGCATTAGAGACCTTACGATTTTAGGACGGCAACCGCGACGGATATTATCAATCGTATGAATTTAATACAGTCTTAGAAGTTGAAGACATGGATTTTATGGTTGGGAAGAGTTCTGCTAAACCCAGTTTGAAGTTACACTTGTTGTGGCTTGGAATGCAGCCGTTGTATCAACACGTGAAAATCTGTGATTTGGCGTTGTAAACAGAGCGAGGACAATGTCTAAATTATTCATTTATTGTAGTTACTTCCGCAATTAATTCCGCGTTGCGAATTCTCTCCCGAGCATGCAAAAATACAGGGACCGCGGAGCAGGGGTGGCGATGGCCATGGCCGCCCTACTTTTTCAATGGATAATAAAAAATTACCGTATAAAATCCAGCCTGCCTGAGTGCAATAGCTCCCGTGCTATCCTGCCTCCCCAACACACACTTTAAAACAGGCTCCGCGGTCCCTGTAATACATATGCAGATTATTCTAGAAATAAGTGTTATACAATTAAAATGAATCTATATACAAAATATGTTATATATGTCTTCAAATACCAGAATTGAATGCCATTCCTATAGTTCCTGTAGTTAAATTTCTTTCTTCAGGAAAATTTAAAAAATAATTTCTTATGTTAAGACTTTGATTTCTTGTTTTAAGAAACTATTTCTTAAAATAAGAAAATCATAATTTCTTAAGAAAATGATTGATAAGAAGATGAAAAAATCGTAAGAAAACATATTCTTGTTTTAAGAAAACAAATATAATTCTTATGTTAAGAAGTTGATTTCTTGTTTTAAGGAAGTATTTCTTAAAACAAGAAAATCATATTTTCTTAAGAAAATGATTGATATGAAGATGAAAAAATCGTAAGAAAATATATTCTTGTTTTAAGAAAACAAATATAATCCAAGATATGTTAAGAATTTTTTTTTCTTATTTCAAGAAAATAATTATATCTTGCCAATGAAATATTTCTTATTTTAAGAATCTTTTTCTTATTAAGAAAATCCGTTTCTCGTTTTAAGAAATAATTTCTTAAATTAAGAATTTTTTTCTTAATAAGAAAGTGATTTTTTGCTGTATATATATATAACAGTACAATTAAAAAATTAAAAGTTACTTCCTACCTTTAATTGGGTTGCCAGATACTGGAACAAGGATCTTCTCAAAGGTACTAGAATATTCTTCCTTTTCAAGAGATGTTGTAAAAGCCAAAGTGCTTTGTGCTTTAACTTGAAACGTAAATGATCCCGATGCAGTTATGTTGAAGCTCCATACACCAGTTGTAGGCATCATAACACGAACGGCATAAATAGTTGTTGTTTGTGAGATTATAGTTATTGTTCCGCTGCCATCTAAAACATAACAGATAAGTTTAGCATCAGATACTTTACCATCACAGATCTACATACCATAACATGTTAATTTAATTGATCATATACCATAACATGTTAATTACATGTCAAAACGTACACCATAACAGATCTACATACCATAACATATACCATAACGTGTAAATGTTAATTGATCATATACCATAACATATTAATTTGCGCAATAAATATTAAATATTATTAATATGATTATTACACTGCTGGTCTGTCTGTCTCAGGCTATCTGTCTTCCTGTCTGCCAGTTTGTTTGTCTCCGTCTGCCACTTTAAACAAAGATAGTGTTCGTTAAAAGCAAGTGTTCGTTTGTCTTTTATACAAAAAATCGTTAGACTATTGTGCCCAGCCCCATTCTCAACAGATGTACGTCTCCAAATAGTTTTGCTATTTTCTCATTCCTACATTGACACATTTCGGTTAATCTTAGTTTTTCTTCCTGTCTGCCCGCCCGCCCAAAATAACTAACAGTCGACAACATGCTAAACCTCAATGTCCTTAGTATATTTCCTGCACTGCCTCAGCGACCCACATTGGCTTTCTGTGAAAGACGTGATGCAGCCCACCGCAAAGAAAAAGCTTTCTTTACCAAACCCGTCACCTACATCGACGCTTGGATGCTGTAACGTTAACCCGCGTCGCGTGCGCGAAGTGTTCGACGTTGTAAAATTCGTCAAAGCTCATCCCGATGTTGACCATTATATATTCACAACCCGAAGATGTTTGAAATGCCGAGTTATGTCTGGTGGGTGCCCTATAATTCAGGCGAAACAGACAGGCCTGCCCGCCAGCCTGCCATAGCCATTTGATCTCTTTATCTATTGTTTTTAATGCGTTCGGCACATGTGAATAGCGCGACGTTTGAAACAGACCTAGCACATCAGAAACGTCGTGACTCGGGGAACTGATACAATGTATTTCTTTATAGTGATGCTACACGCGATAACTAAAAATTTAAATTCTTTCACTAACTACCAAATTTTGCATATTTTAAAATTCCATTTGCATTGCAAGCTTTCGCTAAAGTATCGATGGTTGTCCAATACTGTCGCACTTAACGACTCGTAAAATCATAGACAGCCCAGCAAAATGTGTAAAAATGCATTAAACGCTTAAAAATGCGTATAAAGTTCGTCCCAATTTGCTATCAAGCGATTTATTTGTGTAGCTCATTAAACATGCAGATTTCGATGTTTACGTCATTGTATTTTCATATACGGTAGTATATTATCCTAAGACGGGCAACTCTTTTACAAAATACATTTACACACACTAATACGTTCGCTTCAAACGAAAACAAAATCTGCTACTTTCTGAAAAAAACGAGATACAAAACACCTTGGATATATTTTCTAACTTTATTCAAACTTTTTACAGTTGAAAAAAGTTTAGAAGTATTTAAATTTCAGGGATAAAACTGAGTGGGTTTTTATCGAAATTATTTTGTCGATAGGCGGGATGCAAAATGCTCGACAAACGTCATCATCGGAAAAACCATCGGCTTATCAGGGCATTTTTTAACTATATAACTGGGGTGGCAAAGTCCGCCTAGCCCCCATTGTGCCCCCCCCCCCCACTCAACCATTTTGGACCACCCAGTCAAAGTCCCTTTTCTCTAAAATATAAGCAAAACATGGAATTTAGAAGGAAGGTTTGATATTCTAGTAACTGAAATTTGCTTTGTGAATCTTATGTCCTCTCTTTTATGTTTAATAAATACCTTATTAGATTTTAAACATTTCCCAAGCAGTGGATTGCATTTCCCAGACCCTATAGAGTTTGAGTTGTTGGACAAGTTAGTGACCGCAGGGGGCAACAGGTCCTCAACCAAGTGTTTTATAAGAGGGGGGGATAATTTTGGCCCCCACCAAAAAAAAAAAAAATTGATTTCGAAACTAGAAGTATTTGAAATCATATATACATATAATCAAATATCTGTAATCGATATTTTGATAACATTTCTCGTAATAATCCATCCTGACACGCGGATATGATAGACTCACAAATCATAATGAACGAATTAACGAAAGGGCCAAACAAAAGACGTATAGAAGACTTTGAAAATGCCATATCCGATGATTTAGAGACGCAAAATTTTCAAAAATTTTCCACTCTGTGCCAACCATGGTGGCGCTTCGTGGGAGTCGGGAACTCTAAGTTTATCAAGCTGGCTCCCTAAGTGACGGCCAAGTTGTGGTATCTACATAAACATACTATGCAAGTACTTAACTGAAGGTTCAGTCTATCTACAGCATAATGTAATGCTGTATATCCAAAAATCTGTTTCAGAAAATGCAGGGAATTGCAGCCATAGGGGTAGAAAAATACAAAAATTTTCTGGGGGAGAAAACCCCAGACCCTCTCCAGGGCCGTAGCAACCGTAGGGGGGGGGGCTGGGGGGGCTGCAGCCCCCCAATAATTTGCTAATAATCATTCATTTTTCAAAATCATGCAGACCTTTATTATTTAATCCATGACAAACTGCAACGAATGAAGATATTACCCATACTTTTCTGCAACTTATCCAATATATCGTTAATTAAATACACCTTCGTCCATTTAGTACTACTGAATTCTAAATTTCCACATACTAAAAACGCTGTTTTCTGACAATCAGAAATCTGTCAAATCTTCCCCAAAGTCCAGGAAATGGCATTTCAGAGACTCTAAATTTAAAAATTTCCTCGGGCCTTCGGCCCTCGCTTTCAGCCCCCCCCCCCAAACGAAAAGAGCTTCCTACGGCCCTGCTCTTCCCCCCCCCTACTATTAAGTTTACAGGACACCCTTTTTTGCGTTTTGCGGAAAATCGCTACTGCGCGCTCAATATCAGTCCGATTTTCATCAAATTTTCACCAAATGTTTTCCAGTGAATGCAAAATGTGGTAAAGTTGCAAAATTAACAAGCAATAAAATAATCTAAGAATTATTCAGGAAAATCTTAAATCGCAGTACCTTTACGCTTTTGAGTTGTGCTCCTGCTGGTTTAAGTTATATTTATGAAAATATCATTTTTATACAGTAAAATAGTTGTTCTAAAAAATAGTGTTCGGAAATTTTTGTTTATTTCGTCATGCCGCTGATATGGCGATTTCTTTGACGACTGCAATATATTTCTGAATGGTTTGAGTGAATTGCTCTTTATTTTTAAAATGTCCAAAATTAAAAAAAAGCCGAACACTATTTTGGAACTGGTGTATTTAGCTATGTCCTGTGAAAATTTGAGAAAAATTTGTTAAAACCCGCAGGAGCATGACTCGTTTGAAAATCAGTAATTACCGTAAAATTTTTCGTGAGAATATTGATTTTGAATATTACATTTTCAATGTTTTTCTTATTGCAGCGAAATGTATTTTATTGAATAACTCTGCGAATTTTCAACATTTTTCGTTCAAACTTGGTCAGATAGTAGAACTAGTCTAGTGCTTTCATTGAAACCAATAAAAAAATTTTAGGCAAAATTAACACTCAAAGGTGTTCTGTAACCTTAAATGCGATACCACACCAAACTTTTTGTTACCAACAAACCATCTATCATTGCTCCACACTCAGTATAGTATGGTCCCTTTTTGTAGATGCCCCCCCCCCCACTGACGAATTCTTAAAAAATGCCCTGCGGCTTATTGCTTGTTGGCTGTTGAAAAATCGGCAAATTCCGAAGAAAGTACATTGACTGAAGTATATTATATTCGGAATTTGCCGATTTTTCAACAGCCAATAATTAGCAATAAGCCGATGATTTCTCCAATGATGACGTTTGTCGAGCATTTTGCATCCCGCCTATCAACATAATAATTTCGATAAAACCCACTTTTTATCCCTGAAATTTAAATACTTCTAAACATTTTTCAACTCTAAAAAGTTTGAATAAAGTTACAAAAACTATCCAAGATGTTTTGTATCTAGTTTTTTTGTATCTGCGCAGCAGATATACTATGCTATCGACAGATAGCATAGTATATCAGCAGATATACTATGCTATACTTGCTTTATCTGTTATCTGTTAGCTGTTAGCTTGCAGCCAATCAGTGTCTAGTATTTTAGCTTGTGACCGTCCCTAGCCAGGCAGTGCACTATGCGGAAATGACTATTCAGTGTAGAACATATACATCGGTGAGAAAACCGTAGAATCGCAGCAGCCTGTTCGCAGGCTAAATCAACATGGCGGTACGTTTCGAGGTTTCGAGCTAATTTCGAGGAGTACTTTATACACTTTTACTTTTGTCGACTTGAACTGTGTTTGAAGTGTTTTTGTTTTATGGTAAGAATTAAAGAATCATAATCAACAATTTTCAATGTACTAATGTGTAAACAAATCAATATTCAATGTAGGCTACTAATGTTTATTAAACATGAATGCAATTTCTACAATGTATAAAATAAGAGCTATATTTCCAGCAAAAGTTTTTTAATATGTATGGTATTGCTACTATTATACGACCAAAAAGTTTGAATGTGCATGATTGACCTGTTTGCTGCAGTAATTTATGTTCCTTGAATAGTTTATGTATATTACTCAAGTCTCAACAGTTGACGTTGGCAAATCCAAATGTAATCCATGCATTATAAATATAAACAATTGACAGAAAATTTGCTTCATGTGATTTTATATACAATAAAGTTTTGAAAAACTGTCAAAATTCTATGATTATGGATCATTGACATATATATGATTTCAATGTAAATGTTAATTAACTTCTATATATATTGTTTAAATTTGTATGCTATATATATATGTCAATGGTATGGATTGTGACAACACCTGCTATCCTGACTCTATGGCATCTAAAATGTTTTGCATATCTCGATTATATGGCGATAAAGAAGATTGTCAAGTTATCAGTGTGACATCCCAGTTTATGTATCAACATTATGATGTCACAACTCAGTTGACCTATTAAGGAAACCTTTGTTACTGTTATGGTAATAATTCGAAATAGGCTACTACTGCAAGTGGAGCAGCTATTTCATTCAATATGAAAACTAGACCTGAAAACTTTGTTCTACTGTACATAATATATGCTAGTGATATTAATTTTAAAAGTATTGTATTTTGTGCAAGTGTAGTATTGTTTGAATGGAATCTTTATTTCGTGACTGCATGATTATTC